TGTATGTATGTATGTAGGCATGTATGCATCTATGCATCTATGCATCTATGTACGTATGTATGTATGTATGTATGTATGCATGTATGCATCTATGCATCTATGCATCTATGTACGTATGTGTGTGTGTGCGTATGTATGTATGTATGTATGTATGCATGCATGTATGTATGTATGTATGTATTTGTGTATATGTATGTATGTATGTATGTATGAATGTATGTATGCATGTGTGTGTGTGTCTGTATGTATGTCTGTATGTCTGTATGTATGTGTGTGTGTGTGTCTGTATGTATGCCTGTATGTCTGTATGTCTGTATGTCTGTATGTCTGTATGTCTGTATGTCTGTATGTATGTATGTATGTATGTATGTATGTATGTATGTAGCTTGCCTACTAGGGTCATAACATGTGGTAATCAAGGTTTACATGGCTTCAGAAGTTCTTGAGCAATTTTTGGATGTTAGAAGGTTGCATATATGCATTCAGCAGCGCTTGCAGTTAGGGGCTGCGTATTTGGAGGTCATCATCATAAGGATGCCACTCGCAGTCCATGTAAGGGGTTTGCTTGTTTTGAGTCTGCGAGTGGGTTGACTTCAGGGGACTCATGTACAGGCCAGTGAACAAGCGTTTCGGGCGTAGGGTTTGGGGGGCTGCATGGTTCAAGGTTTGGAACACCGTCCGGATAAGGACTCAGTAGGCTCTAGCGTGAGCACACCACGTGCGTCAGGTTAACCGAAGGCCTTCCGCGAAGAAGTAGGATCACTTGTTCCATGCTTTCGTCTACGGCTCGAGCTAGCAGCAGGCTTTCATACACCCTGAAACTCTGACCTCCCAAACCAACCCAACCTTGACAGTAACCTCAGGGCCTCTACCGAGGCCCGGGGTAACTTAGGGCGCCTGATGGCCAGGCTGCCCCAACCACAGCCGACCTCCAACACCTTTCAGTGGAAAAGGTTTGGGGTGCGGAAACGCTGGGTTGAAGGCTACCCTTAGGACTTGAAGGCTTAGAAGAGTAGCAGTCAATTTTTTGACCCTGAAACACCAAAGCCCTAGAAATCTTGTACCCACGCATCCTATATCCTTAAACCCTGAATTCCGAAGCCCTTGGCTGCAAAGCCTTTATATGCCTTTATGGACCCTCAAATTCCCCAAAGGCCGAAGCGCCAAAACCCTCAGACAACCCTGAAACCCGAAGCTGGCCCTGACGCCTTTAAATTCCTGAAAGACCTCGTCAAAGACCTCAACCCTACACGGTAAGGGCTGGAATAATTGCCTACGCTGTTCTTTCGGGCTCCTGGTTTTCTCCATACATCATGATTTCGGGCTCCTGATTCTCCATACTACTAGTATCATGAATTCGGGCTCCTGAGAATTCTCCCCACTATTATGATTTCGGGCCCCTGATTTCTCCATACTATCATGAATTCGGGGTCCTGCTTTTCTCCATACGATCATGATTTCCTTAAACTCCACATAAGCAGCACATTGAACGTACTCCCAACCTATGAACCTTATACAAGAACTTCACGACCCTTGCCTGACCTGAAAGCATCTGAGCCGTTTCCTTCTCTTGCAGTGGATGTTTAGGGTTTGGGGTTTCGACGTCAAACCCCAGGCCACTGTAGTGGCTTCTGGCTACACCCATACACCCCCTGGGCCCCTAAACCCCGAACTGCTCTCTAAACCGCTAGCCACGCCTGATCGCCAGGCTTCAGATCGATGAGGTCTAACAGACGGTCCATCTTCCTCAAGGGCTCGCTTCCCAAATGTATTTTGCAGCTATTGCTACTATTCGCTGCTAGTCCTGCTACTCCCCGACCTGCTGCAGATGCTTCGGATACTGCGCCATTACTGCTAAGATACTGCTGCTCACTAATACCACTAGTCTACCGTTTTACCTTGTTAAGCACCCCGACCTCTGCTGTGCGAGCTCCAGGAAGTCCTTGTCACCAGCGACACGCTCCTGAGCACGAAGCGAGGCAGTGCGTAGCAAAGTATCGAAAGCACATTAGACGTAGGTCCAGGTAAGTAGTAGAAACATGACAGCACAGGCCCTGCTAGCATCACCCATCTTACGCCAACCCCTGTACTTCTGTTTTTAATGACCGGGAGGATAGAAAAGGGAACTGCCTACGAGGTGCTTACTGGATGCTTACCCCTAGGGCTCCAGTTACTTAAATAGTGGGTTAATGACCCATTATTTACGTAGGTGACTGGAGCCCTAATCAAAAGAATGATAAAGGTATATTTATAGAAGGTAGTTTCTTGCCATTTTCCACCATACAATAAAATAAAAAGCAAAAACTACAAATAAATATCATCAACATACCGGAAACTACTACCAACATACGAGAAAATTATGCCGACATACGAGAAAGTATTGCCAGCATACGAGAAAAGCATTGCAGACATACCGAGTTACTAGAAACAACTACCAGGAACGACATCCAAGTACCACAGCAACAAAACCGAAACTAACATTGGCAGAGACAGCCGGCTACATAAAGAGCACAATACAGAAACAGTTAACATACAAACAAATACAAGCAACATACAAGAACGTACAAGCTGAATACCCAAAAAATATCAGCAAATACAAAAAACACCATAAAACTACCAACAAAATACATAAAACAAAACAAAAAATACCAAAAAAAACATATATATATATATATATATAAATACAAAAAATACAAAAAAAAACAAAGACAAACAAATACAAAAAAATACACAAAAATACCCAAAAAATACAAAAAATACTGGCAAGCGGTTTACTTTCGTGCAGAAATATGGCATTATATAAAGAAACTACTAGGTTTGGATACATACAATAGTAGTCTCCCCACGGCACATTCCCACAGCAGAAACCCCCAGCAAGCAATGGCACGTATTTTTTCGAACGCTTATGGTATTTTTTCGCATGTCCATGGTATTATTTTGTATGTTTTGGTATGTTTTCGTATGTTTTGGTATGTTCTCGTATTTTCTGTATGTTTTCGTATTTTTTGTATGTTTTCGTATTTTTTGGTATGTTTTCGTATTTTGGCACATTTGCCCCAACCACAAGAAACAACCTTCTATAGAAATGCCTTGGGCGCTCTAAAGACCTAAGGCCCTCGCACTCTTTTTTTCAGAAAGCGGCGCCCACACTCCCACAACCTCCCAACCCTTATTCACACCGGAACACCCAGAAAAGGAAGCCCGCCAACATGTGAATCCGGGACTCCACTGCTAAGGCACTTTTTTGTTTGCGGGTGGACCTGTCAACCCGGGGCGCTCTAAGGCGACGGAGCTGTCGCCGAAGGATACAACATCGAAGCAAACCAAGGGAAGCTCAAAGGCATGGTGTGTGCAAGATCAGCCCAGACCCCAAACACTCAAAAGCCGGGTTGCCGGAAATGGAGTCGACACCTCAAGCTCCCGGACGTCCTGCGTGAGACGAAGCATTCTCTCTGCAGCAGCTTAGCGTTCATTGTTGCTGGTAGCCTAGAGATGCTCGATTTAGGGCTGTTGTCAAATGGAGCATTATGGGCATGTACTCAGTAGTGGCCAAAAAGCGAAGTAGAAGGCATAGACGCACAAGGTGCATCCGGTGCTCTGTCAGAGGTCGTGCAGCACGAGCTTGCCAAAACACTTTTATCTAACTGAAACACATGTGACAAAGAGTAGGTGTGCAAAGCAACTTGCCTGGCTTACCCTCCCAAACTTCATCCACCAAATAAGACCGTGAAGACCGTGTATGCTAAATCTTATGGTCCCTGTCGAAGATGCCGGAAGAGTACGTCATGTCACTGCTCAAGAAGAGGCCAAACATCTCGTTTGACAGGTCATAATGCGCCTGTGGCCCCCGCAGACAGAGGGTGTACGGTTGAGAGATAGCTTTCAGGAATCAGGATGTGCTTTCGATTTTGAGGGCTAGGATGATCTGCAGG